TACACTATAACATAGTAACACCCTACATACCAGGATACCGATCTATCAGATCACTACTGCATAGCAACATACTCGATACCAGGATACAAGTCTAACCGATCAGTACAACATAACGACATACTCGATACCATGATACAAATCTAACAGATCACTACAGCATAACAACGTACTCGACACCAGAATACAGATCTAACAGATCACCACATCATATCAGCATACCCGATACCAGAATACAGATCTAACAGATCACCACAACCTATCTACATACTCGATACCCGAATACAGATCTAACCAATCACTACAACACCGTGTCATACTAAGTAATAACAATCTAAGAAATGCCTGACCGTATATAATCAGAGGTGAGATAGCCACCCGAACAGATGACCCTACCCTAGAACCACAACCAAACAAGGAACATGTAAGAGACCCTAGATCAAAAGTCCTAAGTCTATCCTACGTGACTCTATACAGTCCCTATGGCCTCCCTTTACTAACTGATAACCGAAAACTAGTGTGCCGAGATTGGTGCCTTCAACCTACGGTACAATGAGGCGAAACTCACTTGAAATTAAGAAACCCGAGAATACCATGATCTGATCCCTGCTACACTGCTCGCTCCTGTGGATCCACTAACATCAAAACCATATAAAATCTCAATCGCCAATCCAAACCCTCAAGTTTAACCTAAAGTCAAACTTGGTTAAAAGTCAACGGAGTCAACAAAAGTCAAAGTCCAAGGTCAAACTGCTTAAAATCCATAAGTTAACTGAGTCAACCCAACCGAGTCAACTCAGTCGAGTCGACCTAGTGAGCGTACGTGGGGCGTACTCCTCCGTTGACCAGATTGAGGTTGTTGACTACGTACGCTGGGCGTACTCCCAGGTACGCGGAGCGTAACTCCAGACTTCATTTTCTTCCCATAAAGTGCTTAATATAACAACTTAATACGTCCAATTGCATATCCAACGTCACATTGTCATTAGGAGTCATAAAGTTTCCAACTTTATGACTTTGCATGCTTAATAAGTGTTTATGTCACACCCCCAAACCAAGGATGGCGGAAACGTCCGGGGGTGGTGGACTTCATGTATAGTATCATAACAACGAGTATAATAGTGACCAAAGCAAATACAACCATCATAACATAAATGAAAAAGTTACACCGAAGTATGAGTTTACATATTCCAAAATCATTTACACTATGATGACAAAATAAATTGTTTGACGCCTTAGCGTCCCATCCTCAAAAGCTGCGGTTTACCTGATTTACTGATTTCCTGAGAATACAAGTAGTTTTGAAAAAGTGTCAACAATTAAGTTGGTGAGTTCATAAGCTTTTGGATGTAGAATTTGAAAACCCTGTTTACTACCAGTATGTATAGTAGTTTCTATTTGAAATAAAACCGAGTATTGTATCCCGAGTTTGAAAACCTTTGTTTGTAAATGTAATGTATACTTCAAGAAAATCCAATGTTTTCCTTATAAAATGCTATGTAGTCTTAAATCCCAAGACTGAATGTATGCGTGTGAGTTGTACTTGTAACGTGTTTGTAGTTCTAATGAGTACCCAAGAAAATCCAATATTTTCCTTATAAAATGTTATGTAGTCTTAAAATCCCAAGACCGAGTGTAAGAGTGTGTTTTGTACTTGTAACGTGTTTGTATGCAGTTTTAAAATAAATAAAACCCCTTTTTAAAGTAGAAATTAATGTAAACTATATGTTTCGTTATCTCCCTATGTGAGTCGCTATAACCATACTATAACAGAGATGTCTGCTGCGACGTTCTTCAGGCGTCGGAATCGAAATGACATTTGTCACCCCCGATCGGCCGATCGGGCTTATGCAAGCAGCATGGGTGTGGGTTGTCAATCCCAATATAGATCTATACATAATTATCACGCTCTCCCTACAAGAGCCTCTGGTTATAACTATTTAGGAATTTTAACCCTTACTCTAAGAGTACAATGAAGACGAGTCTCACAATTTACGATAACTAGTTTACGTGTGGTGTGAGAGTAAAACCTTTTCTGTGGTGAAATTGAATGCCCCTTTTGTGTAGTATGTTTGTAATGTGAAATCTATAAACTATACCTATTATAGTCTATCATGTGGTAATGAAAACCCGTTTGTATTGAGAGTAAAACCTTTTTCATGTAGTATGCTTGTATTGTAAAATCCATAAACTATACTTATTATAGTTTATTTTACTTATTAGAAGTGTATGAAAATCCTTATCATGAATGACTAATTTCTGTTTATGATGTTCGACTAACAATAAATACATTCAACATTTAGGAACTTATTGCTATATACTTTGCTCAACATGCTACAAAGTGTTATTAATATTGTAAGCTGTGTAAGTAGTTTTTAACTTTTCTGTACTGTTTTAGAAAAATCATAGAAAATCATACGAAGTCAAAAACTGAATCCGTAAACTTTGAGAGTTTAGAAACTGTGTCTAGTTTATCCATAATTGTTATTATGATTTTTAGAAGTCTCTAACTTATGTGAAAATGTTCATATTCACTGACTGGTCCGGATTCGTTTCTGAAATGATAGGCAGTTTTATAAAAATCACCATAAATTGTAGGAAAATCATATGGAGATGTGCAGGTAGTCATTAGAAAGGTATAAACCTGAACTACTTTCATATGAAACGGTTTTGAAATATATTAAGTTTAAGATGGTCAAAACAGTCCGTGAATAGGACTCAACTTTTCTGATGAAAGCTGTTGTTTGAATTTGGTTAAGTTTTTGGTGTATTAACTTGTATCCCCCCCTAAAACTTGAAGAAAACATGAAAATGTAGGGGTATGAACTCATCTTGAGTGATTTCCTTAGATGTATGCTGAAAAGAAAGGGTTTCCAAGTCAAGAACACTTGATAGGAGCTTGGAGAGTTGAAGATCTAATAATAATTATGGTGACATTTGTTATGAGAGATTCATAATCTGAGTGAAGGAGTGAAGGATGTTCAATGTAGTATGAAAATACTTATTGAATGAGGGTGAGAAGCTCAAAGGCAGCCTTGGAGTCTCGAGTTCTTAGAGAGGGAAATGAGAGAGAAGTGTTTGTTTCTTGGTGAGAGAGTGAGTAAAGTGGAAGGAGAGATGAGAGTTTCCAGCTTTTGATCAACTATCCAGCTGGAGGAGGGGTGTGGAAGGACAAATAGTTGACTGAATATGGATGAATAGTGACTGAAGGTTGTCCTATGTGGGTATAGGGGTTAGCTTGAGTCACACTTCATGGAAAAACCAACACTCTAACTCAATATCTCACCCACTAGATATTGTTCTTAAGTTGAGATTTCCCCTAAAATGTGATTAAAATATGAATATATATGGTCTTATATGTCAAAATATAAGTTTGAGTGAAAATTCCACGCGAAAATCATGAAAAACGAGCTTAAAACGCAAAAGTGGTCGAAAACCGGGAGAAGGATGCGAACCTGCGAGGGTTCCGGAGTGCTTAAGGAAGTTCCGGAGCCTCTTAGCAACAATCCGGAGTCAACTGGGGCATTCCGAAGCCATTTGCTCAATTCCGGAGGTCCGAATCGGAGGGTTCCGAAGCCGGCTTGAATTTCCGAAGCGGGTCTTGTTCTCCCGGAGCGAGGTTCCGAGACACATGAAGGCTCCGAAGTGATGTGGTCCGGATGAGAGGCTTATTCCGGAGGGAAGAAGTTCCGAAGCTGAGGGAGGTGCGAAATTGTACGGTTCCTAAGAGGGTTCCGGACCAAGAGGGTTCTTTTGGGTTTTCTCCTTCGGTTTTGGGCTGTTTTCGACTGAGGAAGATACATAGAGAGATTTGGGAGAGATTTCTCATACTTGGAGAGATTTGGGAGAGATTTCAAATGCTTGGAGAGATTTGAGAGAGATTTCACATACTTGGAGAGATTTGGGAGAGATTTCACATACTTGGAGAGATTTCCCATACTTGGAGAGATTTGGGAGAGATTTCACATACTTGGAGAGATTTGGGAGAGATTTCGCATACTTGGAGAGATTTGGGAGAGATTTCACATACTTGGAGAGATTTGGGAGAGATTTCACATACTTGGAGAGATTTGAGAGAGATTTCACATACTTGGAGAGATTTGGGAAGAGAGATAGATACAATGGGAGAGATTGAGAGAGACTTTGTCGGGGGCCATTATTAATGTTTTTCTTTGTAGTTCAAAGACCGTAGACTTAGTTACATCCCATTTTGAGTGTTATACACCCCCGAAGGGCACGTAATAATGTTTTATAGAGTTGTTACTTCCCTCAATCTGATTAGGGTTTAGAATTTTGAACATTTGAAACTTTCAGTGTTACTTTTGCATTAAGATTTAGAGTCATACATTAGTAGACATAAGGTAATCCCTAACATATTAGCACTAGTTGAGTTGACCAGTTTGACTTGTTGACTTTCTTTGACTTTGACTTGACCAGAAAGTGACGGTTGTCACAGTTTAATCCATAAAAACCCAACATGTTAATGCCTTAAGACTCTCCATAATATACATGGGACAAAACCAACCATTGGGAATGGTTAGATTATTTTCTAGTTTGCTGCTAGGCGGATTTATTAAGAAAAGTGAATACGGTCGTAACATTATTGAAAGTCTCGAGTTTTTGGTCCCCCTAACTTTTGTACTCGTGTTTTCGCCCCGGTTGTACTTAGGCTTGAGCTTACCAATTAAGTTTTTTTTTTTTTTTTTTTTTTGATTATATATTTCTACTTGCCGTACCACAAAAAAAATACAAAATAAACATATTAATTTTGATAATTATGACGTCACTGTTTGTTTTTTCTTTTCCCTTTTCACTTCGACAACCCTGATGCTCACCAGGACAATGCGGGATCATTACGTTTGGTGACAAACTTTTCAATTTTTCATATTTAGTATTTACCCCTTCAGTTTTATAGATTATTAAATTTGTTAATAGTTTATATTTTTTATTTTGACAATTATGTTTTTTTGGATCGTTATTACCTAAAATGAAGTGACCTAGCAACGCACTACACATACTAGTGGGAAGTTTCACACACATAAACCCTTTCTTTACCCTTGCTGTTGCTAGAGGAGCAGGGGAACATTTGCTTGGTGAATCTATCTATCAATAACAATGGCGATGGCATCAAGATTATGGGCATCCAAAGCTGCTTCATACCTCAAGATCGCTACTTTCAACAGAGGTTTTGCTTCTGGTAATCACTCCACTTCCATCACCTTTCTACACTACTTTTGATTTCATCGGTTTCCCCCCAGATTTCCATGTGATCTAGGGTTTTCTTACGTTCAAGATCTGATACTCTTATGTACTGTCTAGAATACACAATTTTATATGATCCGTCTAGAAAAACGTTACAGCTTGATAGTTCCGTTAATTTTTCGAATCGATTTTGATGAATTCTCTGTTAGAAATGAACATGCTCGATCATGTGAAGTGATCTAGTTTCTCGATGTGTGCGCGAGAGTTCTGGTTACATGCATCTTCGAATTTCATGATGTTCATAATGTGAGCATCAATCCGGATTACTAAATCCTACATAGAGACGATTCTAAGCCCTTAATAGTAAGTTAATAATCCTTCCTGGCGCACCAAAGGCGGTGAAGATTGTAATGTTGTTTGTGGTATGTCTGATGTCTGAATCTGTTTCTACCAGCAAAACTGGGAGATCTGGACATTGTCAGCCTAATTTAGGGAAAATCCAGTCATGATATAGGAAAAGACCAAGATTATGAAATTCAATCATAGATGGTATCCTGTCCCATTAGACAAACCTTTTATTCATTGAGTAAATTCGAAAAAAGTACATTTAACCATACAAAATGATGCTTAATCTTTTATATGGTGACTAGGAATGTTTAGACTGATAACCTGATTGTGTATTGGTTTCAGTTGTGAAGGATCTAAAGTATGCAGATTCACATGAATGGGCAAAAATTGAAGGCAAGTGTGTGACCATAGGGATTACAGATCATGCTCAGGATCACTTGGGAGATGTGGTGTATGTTGAGTTACCAGAAGTAGGGACAGATGTAACACAAGGTAGTGGTTTTGGTGCAGTTGAAAGTGTTAAGGCTACCAGTGATATTAACTCTCCTGTTTCTGGCAAAGTCGTTGAAATCAATGAACAACTCAGCAGCTCACCTGGCTTGGTAACTTTTCCATTGCTCCTTTTTTTGAGATATAATAAATACAATTTACATTTGGCCCCTTTAGTAAGAGGAAAATAAGACAATGTTTCTTTTTTCTTGTCATATAGTCATTCTTTTGTAATAGGTTACATTACAAGTATTTAACTTTACTATATCGAATCTCGTCTCCTTACCTTGATCCAACCATGTTTTTCCCACACACGCGATTTGTCAACTAAAAAGGAGAGTTGACCAGTTTACCCTTGTTAAAAATGATAGGGTTAAATCCATGAAATAGCAATGTATTTTTGTTGATTTGTTTATTTCAACTTTTTTACTTCCATGTTTTCCTATTAGGAGATTGTACTTTGAAAAAACTTATCCAGTTATAACAATGTCATCCGAACACAAAGCAAGTTCCATTGCTATAATTGGGTAGATTTTTCAAAGTATAATAATGTCTTAATAAGAAAAAAATAAAATAAAACTACAATGCTATATTTTGATGGATTTTTCAGAGTATGCCTTATTAAGATAAAAAAAAAAGTACAATATTGTAATAAAAAATAAACGACAGAACAAGGTGGAATATGGACTTGCTCTTCTTGTACATGTAAAAGACGAAAATGCCCCTGTCCCTCTCCTATAATCCTCATCATCGAAAATAGCCTTAGAAACCTTGTCTAGTCCCTAATCTAATAAAAAATTAACTAATGTTTTCAGGTAAACGGAAGCCCATATGAGAATGGATGGATTATAAAAGTTGAGATGAGCAACACTGATGAGGTAAAGTCTCTAATGGACTGCGATCAGTATTCAAAGTTTTGTGAAGAAGAAGATAACCACTAAGCTAACAATGATGTGCTCCAAAATGACAAAATAATTCCCATGGTGGCTCGAGTTGACAATTGTTGATTGGAGTTTTCTGTAATTTCAGTCGGGTGTTCGCTTCATTTGTGAAAATGTTTTGGATTCTTTTTAAATGATGTCTCTTTTGAAAGAAGTCTTGTATGAAAAAAAAAACAACTGTTTCTTTTTTGGATTGAATAAACTGTGTGAGAGTAGATGAGCATTCTACACTTGAGGAAGAAAAAAATTGAGATATCATAGTCACCAATAACCCTCAATAGATATGAAGCAGATACTACATCATTGAGCCAAAATCTCAACTATTAACAATCTAGGTAAACATATTTAGGGTAAATTACACCAATCGTCCCTCGTGCATATGCCAGAAAGCGTGTTTAGTCCTTATTTTCAAAATTTAACTCGGACCGTCCCTGAGTGTGTTTCTTCTTGCACGCTTAGTCCCTCCGAACATAAAAAGACCGTTTTGCCCTTAATTATTTATTTTTTGATTTATTTTCTATTTATTTGTTATTTATTATTTATTTTTTGGTTTTTTATCATAAAAAAATAATTATTTGCTGCCTTTAAAAAAAGAAATTGACCCTAAATCTAAGCACCTTCATAACTCGTCTCTTCCCCCATCACCACCAACACCGACCACCGCCATCACCGTCGACTCCAATACTCTGGCGACTCGAAGATATCTCCGGCCACTCCAAGACATCTTCGACAATAGAATAAAACCCTCATCACCACACCACACCACACCCCAATCCACCCCCCCCCTTCCATTTCCCCTTTTCCTGTTGCCTTCACTGGAAACCAGGTCAATGGACCACCTCTCCATCTAGCGAGAGGGTTGCAGATCTACAAAAAAGAGGTCGACTGGTGGTATTTGGGTGGTAATGGTGATTATTCGAGATTCTGCAATTGGTGTTTGAAGTTCTTGCAGGTGGGGTTTTCGGTGGAAGTTGTTGTGGTGATGAGGTTACTGGTTAGGTGGTTTTCGAATTGGGGTTGTTATCAGCTGGTGTTTGTACAGAAAGATGTTGGTGGTGAAGGAGGTGGTGGTTTATGGTTATTTTCCAAGTAACAGGTGGTATAAGGAGGAGGTGAAACATGTGCTTGATGGAAGGATGGTGGTGGTCTTGAGCTTTAAACCGGGGACTGGGGTGGGTGAGGTGAGGGTCGATTTCCATGGTGGTGCAGATTTCCAGTGAGGAACGAGGCCATGGATCTGACAACCACCATCGTAGCCGAAAACTAGATTTCAAAATCCAATCCTCGAGCTCTTGACAACTCGATCTCACACATAGATGTCGTCGCCGGAATACCAGAGGATAAGAGTTTGATAACGTCGCCAGAATACTAGGTGAGGGTTTAATTCGTCAGGTTTGATTTTTGTGTTGGTTTTAAGTTATAGATTGGATTTTTGTGTTGTATTTGAGTCGCAACTTCGAGTTTATGGACGGAGATGGTGATCGGAGCTGCTGCCGGACACTAAGTCTATAGACGAAGATGGTGACTGGAGGTGCTGCCGGGAACCGGGTTTGTGAATGAATATGGTGATCGGGATCTTGAAGAACATTAAATGAATTGGAAAGGAAATAAATAGATTAAGTGGGTCATAATATTTATCTTTTTTTAGTTAACAATAATAAGAACATTAAATTAATCAGAAAATAAATACCAAAAGGGGATAATGGTCGTTTCAGGTACTGTAAGGGATGAAGCGTGCAAAATTAAATTAATGAGGGATGAAACATGTAAGTTTTAACCAAACAAGGGACGGTCCGAGTTAATTTTTGAAAATAGGGACTAAACATGCTTTTTGGCATGTGCACGAGGGACGATCGGTGTAATTTACCCACATATTTATAAAACAAAAAGTAAGAAACATACAAAATTATGATAAACAGAAGAATTAAATTGGCCGACCAACTATTTGCATTTTTCTATAATGTCCCTAAACAAAGAGCTTTTGTCCCAGGTTATAACTCATAACAGGTCATATAATGTTTATACGAAGGACAAAGTTTTTTTACGAGCTAAACATGTCATAATGGTATAAAGAAGACATGATTTGCTTGTATTCTTTTTGGTTGATGGGAATTATATTCTGTAGTATTTAAATTTTTAAATAATTTCATTTTGTTTTGTATCAAGTCCAACATTTAACTCATTTAAGATGTTGAAAATTAGGGCTGACAATTCTCGATACGACCCGCGACGCGACACGAAATAAATGAGTTTGAGTTGAGTTTTTTAACCCGCCAACCCGTTTATTAAACGAGTCATATATGAGTTTCTCAAAAACTAAATGGGTTGACCCGCCAACCCGTTTATATTCTTTAATAAAAAAATTTATTTTATTTTTAAATGTATTTATGTATCAAGTATTAATATTTAATAAGTATTATATAATATATCATTGATTCATAGACCATTTGACTGTTTTGACATTTTGACTCGTGATGGATGACCTAAGGTCATAATAATAACATGTAAAGCTAAGTCTGTAACAATTTTGCCCATTTGCCATAAATAATGATCTCATCATAAAGAAGAAAATGGTGTTGGAGAATTGAGTTTGTTTTTTGGGAGAAAAATGGGAATTGTGGTAATTACTTTAGCACTTGAATTATCTATGTTTGTATTAATGTTTAGTTTGAACATGTTTCTATGAATGTTTTTAATTTTCATTTGGATGTTTAAGACTTAAGTGTCTAAAATTCGGATATGTTTGTATCAACCATCAAAAATTTATTCATGTTTAATTGTCAATTTTATTTATGGAATCTCACCCACGAACTCAAATCTGACCCACGAACCCGCCAACCTATGAACCCGTATAAATAAATGGGTTGGCGGGTCATATATGGGTTTATGTTCTAAATCCGCCAACTCGTGACCCGCCAACCCACGACCTGTGTATTTAAATGGGTTGTGTTTGGGTTGGCATATTTTGACCCGCCAACCCGCCAACCCGAACAAGACACGATTGTCAGGCCTAGTGAAAATGTTAAAGGCAGTGGGTAGCGGCAATAACAACATACCTGGTCGAGAGAGAGAGAGAGAGAGAGAGAGAGAGAGAGAGAGAGAGAGAGAGAGAGAGACTTTACTTTTTAGACTCAAGGGCACTAGTGGGGTGTGGTTTGGTCATATCCTTGCCACAGTGGCAGGGGAAACCGCCCCCTTATGCGGTATTGGGTGAGGTCTTGTACACAACGGTAGTATATGATCATGCTTGCTTTTGTTCTTCCTCTTTTAGACCGTTGAATGGTCAAAAATTATATATATATATATATATATATATATATATATATATATATATATATAGCGACCTCGGTCCGAGACATTTGGCGGGAGATGCTCTCTGCTCCGATGTATGCGAGATCACAACATGAAACAAGGCTGTCAATCGTTCTCCGGGAGGTGATCCCGAGAAAACGCTCCGACGTCAAGTTAGTACCTTATCTGAGAGTGAATGTAAGAGTCTAAGAGAGATAGTTTACTTTCCCAGTTAGTGAAGGTTGCCTTTTATACAACGGCCTCCTGCTAGTCTGTACACGACAAGGGCGTCAGACCCGATAGTATCGGGCGCGCTGCTTGACTAATCATGCTTCTCTTTCGGTCGGAGCTAACGATTGGTTCAGGTGGTAATGCTCATAGTTTACTCATTGTCTTCTGAAGCCGTTGGGCTTGTCGTGGAGCGAAGAGTATTATGGACTCGACTCCTGCGCATGGGTTCTGCTGGATAGACACTCGCGGGCGTTTTGCTGGATAGGCGCCCGCGGGAGTGAGACTTGCTGGGGTTGCTGGCGGGGATTTTAAATATCCCGCCTCATCTATTTACTATAAAACTTATCCTCTTTCCTTTTATCTCCCATGCGTTTTCTAAACCCTTCCTGTTTTTTTCCCTCTGCAACTTCTCTTATTTTCATGGCTAATCGTTCTGGCATCATTCCTATTGCAGCTGAGTTCGAAACTCTTTAAGAAGCCTACGACTTTTCATCGATTGATGGGGTGGAGTTCCCAGCTTTTCACGCAATGATCTTGTCACCCCTAACGGGAAAGTTAGTGTTTACCTAAAAACCTTCGACGCCGGGCTCCGTCTTCCGCTTACCGACTTCCAGGATGAACTTGTGTAGAAGCATGGTTGCAGTATCTAGATGCTCACTCCAAACGTCGTGAACAAGATGGTGGCGTTTGAGATGATCTGCAACTCTAATGATGTCCTCCCCGACTATTTCGTCTTTAAGTTCTTCCGGTTTAGCGCCATATGAGATAAGTACATGTTCTCTGCACGTCGTGGTGGCCAGGTTCTTGTTCCAGATGGTAAGACGTCGAAGAACTGGCTGGACAAATGGTTATGGGTTACTCAGGAGCAAGTCGATCATGGGTACTGCCGGGCGGTCAACTTCTCAGATACCATTCCCAAGCTGTTCTCACACAACCAAGTTGTCGTCGATGTCTTAAGATCTCTCCAGGTTGTGCCTGATGAGTTTCCGGAGTATGTTCTTGCCGGTGCCGGTATGAGTCCAAGTTGGCGTGCACGAGGAAAGATGTTTGTCTTCTTCACCATTACTGACGATACTATTGCTTGTCCTATTTCCTCTCCCCTCTTTTTTCTTATCCTTTCTTTTCTATGACGGTGGTTCTGAAAAAAGGAGTTTTTTGTTTTCATAGGTGTCGAGACTCCCTTATCGTTGGACTTTGTTCTCCAGAAGCGGTACAGTGGGAAGCTTGAGTACCGGAAAGTTGACCTTCGTGAGACTCTCCCTGCACACTGCATGGTTGATCGTTTGGTTGTCGTTTCTCCTCCGGTGGTACAACTTGTAGAGGTCTCATCTGCGAGTGGTGGTGAACGTCCTATGGATGCTCAACCGATATCTATGGTAGGTGGTCCTGTCCATGCTAAATCCCCTATTACTGAAGTGGTGGAAGATAGCAATGAGGGTATCATCTCCAACATTCAACGTGCTATGGCGAAGAGGAAAGCTATCTTGGCCATGGGGGAGACTCCTTTTGATGTTGGTGGTAGCCAGATCGAAAGGCGTGTGCAACAACAACGTGGTTTTTCCTGCCTGTTGAGTTCAATTTCCTCCAATCCGGAAGGAATTATGGTGATCCCTGATGACGACGTGCAGCAGTCTGAGGGGGATCAGGGGGTGTCTAAGCAGCCCGTACTTTCGGCAAAGGTTGTTCCTGAACCAAGTGTCGAAAATGTTGTTCTTCAATCAGGTCCTGGCCCTATCTCTTCGGAGGGTGGCGTTGGGGGTTCGCACCGCGAGATTCCCATTGGGGGTGGTTCGCATGGCCTTACAGGTCCTGCTGTGGCTCCATTCATTCCTAGCTGGAATCTCAACATTGAATCTCGTTAGTCTGTTCGTGGGAATCCCATTGAGTTTTCATGTCATGCCTTTCCGTCGGCTGCTCTTGCCGATATGGACGCTATGGGCAACTACCCACTTTCTAACAACATGTCATATGCTGCAGCACAAGCGATGTTTTACTTGGTTGCTGGTTCTCGTTGCATTCATCGCATAAGTGATGTAGAGGAGGGAAATGGTGCATTATTGGCGAGTGAAGCTGAGCTTAGGCGTCGGGTTGCAGAACTTGAGCGTGATGCTCGTGGCTTCGAAAAAAAGTATGATCTATTGGCGGTGGAAAATGTCTCCTAGGATGAGGTTTGATCGGTGTTAGAAAGCAAGGTGGACCCTCTCACCCAGTCTAACGAGGGCCTGATGATTCAGAATGAGAGCTTCGAGTGTGATGTCGTTGACCGAGACAAGCTCGTTGAGTATGTTAGGGATAAATTGGACGTTGTGCATGGGGATTTAGATTGGTTGCTTCATGTAGGTGTTCTGCATGTGATGGACAAGTTAATTGAGCATCCTGAATTTACTGGTGGTGTTAGACGGATTCATCACGCAACATTCGTGGCCGGGGAGGAGGCTCGTTGGGCTGGTCTGAAAGCCTAGATTGATGCTTGAACTTATGACCCAGAGGCGAGTGACTCTCGCTCTAGACATACCACTGGGCTGGCGATGCACTTGTGAGTTTCGCCACATCAGATTATGCAGCTTTGCTTGGTCTGGGTCGCCTTGACACTGTCAAGATGAGGCAATTGTGTGCATTTGATGATGCTGATGGTGGGGTTAATGAGGATGAAAATGTGGTTGGGGGGTGGTATCGTTGCTGTTGTTGATGATGGTGG